ATTAAATGTTCCAAAATACTCATTCTTTGCAGTGTTGTCCATAGCTTGTCATGATTCACATAACTGAAAACTTTTGCATAGTCAGTAAACATCTATCTGGTATCCTGTGCTTTCAGCCAAAATCCACCTGACATCTGCAATGATATACCTTGTTCCTTTGTTCAACATCCTCTTCTGAATCTGGCTTGAGCCTCTGGAAATTCTCTCTCAATGTGTGGTTACAGCCATTTTTGTATTATCTTTAGTAAAACTTAACTCACATGGGTTATCAGTGATAACTGCCTGATGATTTCTGCATTCCGTTGGGTCACCTCTCTTTGGAACGGACACAAGTATGAATCTCTCCCAGTCAGTTGACCAGGTAGCTGTCTTCCAAATTTCTTGGCATAGATGAGTGAGTGCCTCCAGTGCCACATCAGTTTGTTGAAAGATACCAATTTGTATTCCTGGTGCCTTGTTATTTGCCAGTGTCTTCATTGCACTTTGGACTTATTCCTTCAGTGTCATTGGCTCTTGATCATATGCTACCTCTTCAAATGGTACAACGTTGACCATTTCTTTTTGGTACAGTGACTGTCTGTTCCTCCCATCCTCTTTGGATGCTTTCTGCATCATTCACTATTTTGCCCATTGAATCCTTCAGTACCACAAGTAGAGGCTTGACTTGTTTCTTTAGTTACCTTAGCTTGAGAAATGCTGAGCATCTTCTTCTCTTTTGGTTTTCTAACTCCAGGTCTTTGCACATTTTGTTTTATTTGACTTTGTCTTCTCATGCTAACCTTTGAAATTTTCTATTCAGCTCTTGTACCTTCTCACTTCTTCCATTTGTTTTAGCATCTCTACACTGGAGAGCAAGTTTCAGAATCTCTGTAGCATACATCATTGGTAGCATGTGATATAGACTTGGTAGAATTGAAAGAAGAAATCCAAGCTGCACTCTAGACATTAGTGAAAACCAAGACTCCATGAATTGACAGAATACCAATTGCTGTTTTCCTTTTTGACATCCATTTTGGTATCTTCCTTCCTTCTTGTCTTCTTAATAACCTTTTGTTTGCTTCCTTTGTGATGTTCTTGATGTCATTCCACAACTGTTCTGGTCTTCAGTCTTTAGTGTCTAATGCATCAGATCTGTTCTTGAGATGATATCTAAATTCAGGTGGTGACCATGTTAGCATCAAATTCTATTTCAGAGCAAAAGAAAATACTACCGAGGATTAAAGAAGTTCATTTCATAATTATAAGATAGCCTATTAATGAAGAGAA